ATTGTTTTTGGGTCAAGGCTTCAAAAGCTCAGAATAACTAAACAGCTCATCCAGTTCAATATTCTGAGCTCTGTCTTCAGTTAGTAAAGCAACAAACGTAAATGAAGTAGTCATCAAAGTAGCAGCCCTTTCCCCCCACAAATATAAGTTTTGCTAGCCATGAAGGCAAAAATTTTCCAAGCACAAATTCTCTACACTTCTAAATAATTCTCCGTTTCTAATTCCAAATTTTATATTTTCCTGTTTATTTTTCTGCAGATCCTATTTTCAGCTCTCATATTCCATTTTCCGGTTTATATCGAAAATGACGGGCTGCAACAAAATCACTGCGGGAATCTTTTGCTGACGATAATACCAGGACGCTCCTACGTGCCAGGCGCATCTGTGTCAGGCCCTTCGATCATAAGCTGTACACCTCCACTTCGTATCTGCCGCCTGCTCGATGTACACCATCTTCTTGCAAGCCCTCCCTTTCCCATTTCTGTTTTTAGTTAAGTGAAATTAGCGTGAACGACTTTTTCCCCAATTCCTAAGGCTGTTGCTATTGCAGCGAGCGCCCAATCACGATAGATTATTTCTACTGAATCAGCAGTTTAATGTTTTAGCTAGACTGCTGTAAGCAACAGGCAGACGGATGAATCAGTTATCTATTAACTCAGAAACGTACTTGCACAAAAGAGATGATAACACCTCGGACGATATCTACCGGTATATGATTTGTTCCCTCGCGATCTGCGGCGATTGCTTTCAAAACATTGTCAATCAGTCGGTGTTCCATCGGTTCAATCAATTTCTTTCGCCAAATTTCCATTGAAAGCTGAAAATTGCAACGGATAAACTGCGTTGTACTTCGAGTACAGAAATTCTTCAACGTGTACTAGCAGCTGTCCGATTAGGACAATTATTATAGTGACAACTGACTAACGCGCATAGTCTTCAAAATAGCGTAATTTTTTAAACAAACTGATGAAAATTCTTTTTTTTAACAAGAAAAACAGTCACTGCATGCGAATCTCTTCACAAATGTTTTGTGAGAGACAACACTGTGGCAAGCATCCGCCAAGGAAAAGGCCTACATAAGTGGAGAACAATGGCGGAGACGTTATTATTGCATCCAGGTCTCTGGGCAATGGGCCTAAACACAAGCTGTCGCATAAACGCCCCGCAGGATTGCTGGAATTTTCAGGATCGTCTCAGCGACCGCCACCAATGGAGTCAAATCCCTCTGTGTTGTTTTTTTTTTTCTTTTGAAGGAACAAAGGATTTTATTGCCTAACGGACCAACAATTTTAAACGATCTCTGCAACTGGAACGTTTAAATAGCAGGGAATGGTCTCTTAAAAGTTAAAATATCCCTTAATTGACATATGTAACTGTTGAGCCGACAATCTCTCCAGGGGATGAATG